CGGCCGCGGTCTAGCTCGAGACCTGCGGGGTTGGCCCAACGGGTGGCCTCCGCGCCCCAGCGGCTCGCGGGGTTGTTGCAACGCTTTCGCCCGCGGGGCTGCCCCGGCGGCTTCGCGATCCGGCCGTCGAAGAACGCGCCCATGCTGGCCGCGGCGGCAGCGGCGCGAGGATGATCGATTTGCCCCGGCGATGAAGCAAGGGGGGTGCGCGCGGGGAGAACAAGCAGGACAGTGGTGAGGATGGCGAGGAGGAGCAGGAGGAGGAGCAGGAGGAGGAGGAGGAGGATTTTCACCTGGACCTTTTCCTAGCCTGGTCTCAGGCTAGGACGCAAGCGGTGACCTCATGCGGTGGCTGACTTCGGCAGCAACCCACGGGCCCCGACAACAACGAGCTAATTCGAGCCACCTCTGGGCTCATAGCTCACGCGAGCAGCTTTCGAGCGAGGGCCCTCCGCACCATCCTCACAGCTCAGCTCGCGGCCCCTCGCACCACTCTCGTTGGAGGAAGCCGAGGGAAAATAATTCACAGCCTGCTGCACTGACTCGGCTCGATTTGCGGCGTGTCGAGCGGACTTGTTGGGCCGAGCATCGGCGCCAGAAGCAGAAGCGGGGCGGGTCCTCGACCCCTGGTCTGCAGGGGTCGAGTGGAACAACTGGGGAGTGGCAGCAGCTACCGCGACCTGCACGACAGACGACTGGTCGACGACATCCTCGCGCTGCCGCCCATCTCCCGTGGACGGCATTACGGCGTCAGCCTGCATAGGGGCGGTGCGGGCGAACTTGCCCGGGCGCTCTTCAGGCCAACAGGAGCGCGGGCCACTTGGGCCACTCGCTGAGATTGCTGCGGCAGCAGTATCGACAGACGAAGACTCAACGACAGAGTTAAGCTGCTGCAGCTCCTGGCTCGCAGGATGCGCGGACGACGTCTCGACGACAATTTCTTCCTGCGAGCCAGGGTGCGCATCCACGACCTCTGGTGAGATTTCCACGGTCACACCTGGAAGTCGTGGGTGCCGACCCTTACATATTCTGTACTTCCATCTCTCAGAATTGTTCCTGGTTGGGCGTCCGCACTGCTTACCAAGGAGAGCCAGCGGACCCAGGGTAGAGACAGCCTTGCAACTAACACAAACGAACAGCGGCGAGTCATCGCTGCACTGGAATGATAAAAGCCTGTGTCCGAGGGCCGAGACCTGCCACAAAGTGTCGGGGATAACGCCAGTACAACCCTCACATGCAGGCTTGGCTGATTTACCAAAAATGAACGGAGTGGGATGCTTCGTGCGCAAGCAAACGCCACAACGCCAATAGGAGCGGCACCACTCCCAAACATGCTCAAACTCAGTGCCAGGTTTCACGTTGATTTTCTTCGGGGACCTGGCCAGCTCAACCCCGCTGAGGTCGAGACGAGGCCACTGCGGCAAAATCCGAGCGGCCAGGCGGCAAACGGCCTTCGCAACGCTGATTTTGTGCGTAAGGTCGGTCAGTTGGGCGTCCGTGGGCCTAGGATGCGTGGCAAGACCAGCCTTGGCAGCCTCATCAGCTGCATCATTACCAATTTTAAAAAATCGGCCCCTGTCGGACAGGTCGTCCGAGTCCACAACATGGGCCTTGACTTTGCGGAGGGTTCCCGACCACCACGAAGAAAAGCTAGAAAACATGAGCCCCGCGTATGGCCTCTTGTGGGACAGTTTAATGGCGGGGGGCTCACCGTGGGCACGAACAACGTTGAGGCAATCGGAGTACCCAGTAGAGGGGCCTACAAGGCACTGGGAGGAGGCTTCGAGGGCTCCGTGCTCCCCAGCCTGGCTGGTCTGGGGGAGGGGGGCCCAAATAGGCCCAAACGCACTAAACAGTTTAGACCCGTCGTCTGCATGGGCTGTAAAACCCCAGCTTGCTCTGGATAGTTCTTTAATGCTATGTCTCTGACAGCTGCCGTCCATGAATATGTGTCCCGAGACCGCCGTGTCGACCCTATCAGGCTCTCCCTCCCACCTGGTCTGGGTACCTCCTTCACCGCGAGGACGGGGAACCGAGTCACCTGGGTGTGGGAACAGACCCTTAGTATAGAGGAGGAGGGTAGCAGGATCAGAAAGATCGCACGACCGAGCATCTTGCTGGATCCGATCTTTCACAAGGTCGTCGCGATCTTCCTGAACGCTGGGGCAGAACCACAGGCGGTGCATGAGGCTGTCTGGCGCAGCCAAGCACAAAGGGCAGATATCGGAGTCGAGCTGATAGCCCAGGGCGATCGCACGGTCCCTGGTCCAGGTCGCCCCACAGCTAAGCCCACGGATACTGCCCTTCTCGAGGGCCGTGAATTTGCTAGAGTGGAGCTGGGCCTCCACCACATCGTAGCACAAGCGCTTGCCAACACCTAACGCCTGGCCTGAGACTCTCTGCAGCTGGCGGAGGACCCCTTCAACCAACAGTTTTTTGACCAGGGAGGGGGAAAAAGACGTGAGCCCAATCGTTTCCCCGAAATCATTAATGAGCTCAGTGAAAGACTTCATACCCCAGTGGATACGCTGCAGAGAGAGCTTCATGGCCCCCAAAGGCCCAGACACAATACGCCACGAGAGGTCCTTACCGTCAGGATCCCTGATGAAGATGGTCTCCCAGGCTTCGCGCAGGAACTTGAAATCCAGGGGATACTTGAAAATCCTAACCTGGTTGGCCCAGACCTCCTTGCTGTAACGAATGACTGGAGCGACAGCAGAGGTAGCAGTAGGGTCCCTCGCAAGGATGAGCAGGGAAGTGAGGGGCCTCATGCCAGCGGAAGGCTTCAGGACCCGACCGAGCCCCTGGCGGAGCCCCTGGACCGATCCGTACGCGACGCCCGCTAGGGGCCCCGACGTGAAAACTTTCCTGCAGCAGCGCTGCCCCAGGATGCCTCTCAACCTCTTGAGACGGGCGACCCTCTGCTTGAAAACTTTGCACCTACCAGCAAATTTGCGGCCGCGCCCAGCTTGCCGTCGGGGCCGACCAGCGGCGTCATCAACACCTAGATTCACAGCAGAAGAATTACATGAGGGTCCTCCCACATGCTCCAACAGCGACCTGATCTTGTTGCCGACAGCCTGATCAGAGCAGATCACAGTCGCCTTGTCTTCAGAAACAACCACCTGCATATCGTCCGGCAATACCGAGTACAGTTGAGTGGCCCCCGTCACAATGTCATCGACGACTGATCTGGCCGACCCCGTCGCTTGCAATCCGTAATCATCGATGTAGATATCGAGGGCATCGCGGACTTTCTGCGGCAGCAGGTCAATCGTGGGAATGGCGTAGACCCTCACGAAAGTAGCGGCAAAGGAAACTCCCGCAAGAACTCCTTGCCAGGCGAAGAAAGGGCCCTTCACGATCCCGCTGATGTTGATGAACCTTGGGCCTCTATAGGCCGCCATGCAGAGACGTGAAATAGGAGAAGGGAATCCTAAGTCGTCACACCTCCGCTGTAGAATGTCGAGCCTAATAGCCTCGTAAAACTTGTGGAGATCCCATAACACAGTGCACGCAACACCCTTCTTACCCTTCCTGCTAGTCGCATGTTCCGAACGCACTGCTTGCCTCCAAACAGCATCCCCAGCCCCAGTGAAAGCTCCCGCACTGAGATAATTTGTATTGAGCCTGGCCTCACATTGGACTGCGTGTGGTCTCCTCATCCTGCCCTATACCGATATGCTGAGCTAAACAATCCGATGGGTCTCCAACCTCCAGCAGGCTTGGGCAGAAGCGCAACCATGATGGCACGCAGGTGGTTGGGCAAAAGGGAGGACGCTTCCATGATGCTGAAAATACTCATTCATGCCACCAGCGCGTCATCACAGAGAGAAGCATAGTGGCGCATATGGAAGCCGTCGACACTGGTGGCCGTGCGAGTGGGGTACGACTTGGCAACTTCTCTCAACAAGTCTGGCGACTCGAAGGGGAGCGGATCCCGGTACTCGATGGGCTCTTGCTTGGGGGGCTCCGACGTGGCCTTCCATAGCCCACTGAACCGAGCAGCCTCCGAATGAAGAAGAGCTTGGGGATCAGATAAAACAACACCCTTAGCCGAAAGAGTAGAACATGGGGTCCAGGGGGCGACTTCCTTGGTCCACCAGTGGGCTCTTCGGGCTCCTTTCGAGACACCTTCCAGGTTCCAAGACTTCCAAGACTTGTTCGCCACATCGCGCTGCTTGATGGAAAACTCACCCAGGAACTCCGAAACCTCGTCCAGGATGCTAGCACCATCATCAATCAAACCTTCTAAAACTTCGGCCCCAAGAGGATCATCGCGAGGAATACAACCAGTTGAACCGTCGCCCTTGGTCGAGTTGAACGGGTTGCTTTTCCCACGGCAGGACGGAGGATTAGACCTCATACATCGTTGAACGAAATGTTGTACCTTATCCCAGCAACCCTGGCGGACCCCCATGCTGTCGGCTATGATGTCGGGGGGGGGGGGGGGGGAAGTTGCCAGAGTCGAGGGCCGAGCCCTTCACGTCGCAGCCGAGGTTCGAGCAGAAAATGCGCAGGGTGCTCTCCAGACATCGAACTCCGCACAATTCAGGCTGCCGAGAAGTGCGCCTATCCTTATCCAAAACAGAGCGCCATGCAAGCTTGGGCAACCTGCCACGGGTGTCTAAAACAGGAAGTGAACACTGTCGATCAGCGACCAACTCTCTCTCAGCCGTGTCAGCCCAAAGCTTATACAACATATTGAGATGACGCTGCAAACGCTGTCTGGGGACACGGTTGCGAACCAACCCCAAACCATAAGACGCACAGTCTAAGACATCCTTCCAATCTTGAGGGGCAGGGGCAGGGCCGATAGGGGGCTCGATCGGGATGGGGGGAGGGTTAACAAACCCCAAAGCCTGCAAGCTGGCCAGCTGAGGGAAGAAGCTCAACTGCACTGGTTTGTGCGGCTTGGTGGCCGCCTCCAGGCAGACACGGGTGGCCTTCACGGCCTGCGAGAGCCCACTGGAAACCAGGAAATAGTCGAGCATGCGGACTCATGCCTTGCTCGTGCACACGCAGGTGCCCTTGGATTCAGGCACGACCAGGTTGGCACTGAGCACCGAGACCAAATCACATGAAGCCAGAACGTCAGGCTCCATCTGGAAGTCCGCACCCAAGATGAACGGCCCAAGCAACGAGGATAATTCAGCACGAAGCTTGCACAAAATACCCATATTGGACTCGGAGAGGCCCTCGGAGTCCCTGAGATACGCGGAGACCACAAGGATAGAGACTCCGCCTGGGATCTGAACAATAGCTGAGGCAGCACGGTGGGGAACCAGAGTGGGGCCCACCTTAGCCGAGACGTCATGACAACCCAAGAAGTCCCTGACGAAGATGCCCACGCCTCCAGAGGTCCCGAGCCCAATACCTGGGGCCGCTGGGACGATCCTGGACTTCCAGCCTGAGCGGAGGCCCCACTGAGAGGCCTCGCCAACCTGGTCACCCAGAAGATGAAGTTCTTGAGCAAGTACAACATGAGCCGTCGTACGACTCAACCACGCTTTCGCCGCATTCCACCCAGTGCAATTTGCCGTCTCCACGACCAATTCAAAACTGTCGAGATCCGAGCAAGCTGGGGCCCAGAGACACCTGCCAAAATTCAAGGACGGAGCCTTGGGGGCGGGAACACGGCACAGCCTGGCGATAGCATGTGAGAAGTGTAAGAAGTTACCCCCCGACACACTGCTCGCGTGAGCATCAGGCGCCGGGGGGGGGTTGTTTGGGAAGGCGGCTCAGGCGGCTTCCTGTTGGCGAGCAGTTCCTGCGCAAGCTGTCGAACATCTTGGTGCGGTGGCGCATCAGCCTCGTGAGCTCCCCCGTGGGCGCCTGCAGAGCTGCTGGCTGCACCTCCGGCCCCGCTGGCGGCGTCCTCTTGATCACCAGTTGCTGCATCTCCAAGTTCATGTGGTGGCCGAGCTCCAGCGGGGCTGTTGCCACTTGCGACCTTCTCGGCGGGCTGGACGGAAGTCTCTTCAGGCTTCCGCCTGTGTAACTTGGACATGCGCTGGCGGTGGGAGGCTTTGATCTGGTCCACAGACTGCTGAACCTTCTCAAACAACTGCTTCGTGATGGCGACCACACTCTGCTCCAGCTCGCGCTTCCTGGCCTCGAACTGGATGTGGTCGTCGGCGGATAACTCGTACTCCTTGGCGTCGAGGCCAAGGATGCCTTCTCCGTAGTCAATGGTGAGGGCCCCTTCCTTGCCGTCGAGGATGTCACGAAGGCAGAGCTTACCAACAGACTGAGGAGGATCAGGGTGCACCACATGATGAAGCCGCTCGACCAAGGCTTTATGCTCCTTGTCGGCCGTGGACAGCTCGTCCGTGAGCTTGGCCATAGCTTCTTCGCATTCGCACAGCCACTTCTTAGCCCTGGCGACATCGTCGATCTCCTTTTTGAGGCGGCGCTCGATGGAATGAACTCGCTGGCGCGCCTCTTCTGATTGCTTTTCCAGGGGCTTTGGTGGGGTCTCCTTGGGCTTCTTAGCTGCAAGCCACACCTTGTACTGAGAAGCTGCAACTGAATCACCGAACTTCTCAGCCAGAGCGAGCAACTGCTTGACATCGTCTTCAGTCGCTGTGTCGGGCACCATGACGGCGGCTGGCGACAAGTGCGGTGGGCCCCGCTGCCAGCTCCCACGAGGCGCAGGTACTTCGCGCACAGGCACTTCGACACGTTCACGCTTGCAGTGCTTGCAAAACCACCACTTGGCAAGATTTTTTCCACATCCACAATCCTCGTAGCTGCACTTCCACATCGCCTGGCGACCGCCCCCGCGATGCTGAGGGTCCGCTCCGTCGCCTCCCGCGGCGAATCGAACACGCTTAGCAAACGGGCGCTCCTCCCAAGGCTGGGCCTTCGGCGGCGGCACCATTGCGGCTGCTGGAAGTGGCAGGACGTGGCTGGAGGAAACGAGAGCCAGAATGACCCGCTGTCACCCAGCCGTTCTGAATCGTCAGTGACAGCAAGCACAAAACTTGCGCCAGAACGGCTTGAGCCAAAATGGCTACGGATGAGGAGGAGGAGGAGGAGGAGGAGGAGGAGGGAGGAGGAGGAGGAGGAGGAGGAGGAGGAGAAGAAGAAGGATGAGGGGGAACAGTGGGGGGAGGAGGGGGGGAAAGGCGAGGAGGTGGAGGGCGAAAAGGAGGAGGAAACGAAAGGTGAATATGATTATGATAAAGAGGAGGCGCAACAGAGGGCGGGAGGAGGGCCTCCGCCAAAGCTAAGGGGAACAAGCGATGGGCGAGCTAAACTGATTTTCTAGCGGGGTCCCACCGTCGGAGTAATCAGGTTGTAATGTAAGGGTATGTTTGCGATTTCGTGCGGCTGTCGGGTGTGCCATGGCCATGGCTGACCAAGGAAGCCTTTTCCCTCAACAACGTTTTGGCCGTTTTGGTCCGCGCCGTGATGACAGTTTGCGTTGCGGAACCGAATTTGGCGAGTGCCGCTGCGGGTTCGCACGATCATGCCACGATTGGGGGTCTAGCGTGGGGCGGCCCATGATCCTCCCCAAGGGGCCTTCCACATGTGCTCTGCCTGCGAACGAATGCGAGCACGTCGCCAGGTCATCTTCGATGGGTGCACATTTCTACCGCTGGAGTTGCACAGGTTCCGCGATGATTCGTGGAACATTTGAATCGCAATGCGCCGCCGAAGCTGCGTCAATGGGATTCGCTCGCCTTGTTTGGGTTGAGGGCCTCCTTGAGGGCCCGTGCGGTTGTGGTGCCAAGGGTGATCAAAACCGCCCTCACCATCAACAACGCTTTGGTCCGCACAGTCAGGGCAACCTGCGTTGCCGAACCGACAGATGCACGAGCGCCGTCGCGGACCCGTGTGAACATGCCGTGAAGCGAAATATGTTGATCGCCGGGTCCCCGCGTAATTGCTTTGCCCATGAACGAATGCGAGCCAGCATGCCGTGTGTTATGAGATGATGAGTTGGAAATTAAGAATCGCAGTGCGCCGCCAAAATTGCGTCTATGTGATTAGCTTGTTTTTCTGGTTGAGGGCCTCAGTTTGACCGACGGTGTCCCGCATATTCACCGACGATTCGTTGAAGATCACAATGCGGCGCCGAGGCTGCGCCGATAGAATTATCAGCTCGTGTCTTTGGGGGCCTGCGCGACTGTCACCGCGTGGAGGGCGGAGGAGGATGAGGTCAGTGAAGACAAGGACCACGCCGATGTGGAAGATACAGGATATTCGCATCGCAACTATGTTGCCGAAACGCCTGCTAGGGTCCCTCGTCGGCCAGCCGAGGCAATCCACATACAAAAGAAAACGGCTCGCACAACATCGAGCCAATTCTTCAGTAAGTCCTCTGCCGAGAGGACAAGGGGGAGGAGGAGGAGGAGGGGGACTCAGGGCTCCTTCTGGCGGGGGGGCGGGCCACTGGTGCCTTGCCCAGCGCCACACCAGCAGCCGAGGTCGTGCGGCAGGGTCGCAATGACCTGCTGGGCAACATCCAGGAGGCGTGCCCGACCAGGAGGGCGCGGAGGACGAGGATGACGCGGAAGAGGACGTGGGATGCGGCGGAGGAGGGTGTCGGACGGGGCTAGGACGAGGATAGAGCCGTTGCAGAGCGTTCCGGAACGCTTTCTGAGCGTTCCGGCACGTTTTGAGAAGGCCGCGGCGCCTGAGCCAGGGCCGCCGGATCTCACATATTTTCGAGTTATCCTCACCCGATTATCTTCGTTCTGGTTTCGTCTTAGGTGAAGGACGCAGAGGGCGAGGACGACGAGGACTAGAGGAGAAAGCGGTGCCGATACCGCTTCCCTTCCCTTCCGATATTGGTCATAACGCACCCTAGTCTGGAGGTTTGGGGAGTAGCGGTATCGTTATCTTTTTGCCCCCTCCCCCCCCCCGGAGGAGGTGGAAGCGAAGGCGAGAAGAACAACGGGGAGCATTGGGTTTCGGAGGGGTGGGGGGGCTTCTCTTCGATTCCATCCTCTCCTAGGACTAGTAGATTTGATTGCCCGCGATCGCTGCGATTAATCTCCGTCGCCAGTGCCTCGTTGTTGGGTAGCGTGTTCATGTGATTCTAAACGCATCGCGTAACCCACCAGCCCATCCAGAAACGATGCCCTGGCGAGTTGCCCTGATCAGGGATGTGGAGGAGCATGCAGTGGAATGAGGAGTTGGAAAGCCGTCATACCCCAAGAGGGAGAGGATGGAGGAGGAATCGGAGGAGGAGGGGGAGGGAACGGAGGGAGGAGCGAGGGAGGAGGGAGGAGGAATAGGCGGATGAGGAAGAGGAGGAGGAGGAGAAAGAGGAGGATGGCGAGCAGAAAGGCCAGAGGCATCGTAAGGATGCCTCTCGGAGTCTCTTCAGATGTTTCTTGCGAGCTTCTTTGAGTCCCCTTGGGACGTTTTCGGGGCCTCTTGCCGGTCCCAGGGGCCTCTTACGGACTTGAGGGTGCCTCGGGGGGGGGGGGGCTCTTGGGGTCTTTTCGGAGCATCTTGCGGACCTTGAGGGCTTCTTGGGGCCTGCTTGGGGTCTCTTGGGGCCCTCTTGGAGCATTTTTGGCAGCCTTGGGGGCTATCTTGCGGCCGTCTTGGAGGAGTTCGAGCCTCTCCCCCCTCATGAGGCCAAAATTGGCCCAACACGCAAAGAACATCGATGATTGTTGCCTTCTCGCCTAGGCCTTCTTGGAGGCTCCAATGGGTCGAGACCACCCCGTCCAGGTCCAGGGGAGGGGAGGTAACTCTAAAGTGAGCTGGGCGTTGCATGTGAGTGGGAACGAGGGTGCTTCCGCGTCTGTTTGGCTCAAAGCGGCCAGCCGCCCAGTTCTGACTACACCTCAGCGCGAGGTGTACCATGTGCCATCGATACCAAAACTGCTGGAGATGGCTCGCCCCCTACTAGTGAGACTATCGTTGCTACGGTACAGCAGAGCGGGAGCTGGGCTTCGCCTGAGGCGAAACTGCTGGTTGGGCCTCCCAACCCCTTTTCAAACTTTGTAGCGGAGCTGGCCTATGGTGGTCAGTGGTCAGCTCTAGTTCTACTCCTCAATATCCACGGCACTATCTGGTGGATTACTGGCGTGGTGGAACATCAGGGTGCAGTGGGTTTGTGCAGAGGAATGTGTACAATTACGCAGCAAAGCGAGGACACTTGCAGTGACACCTCTGCCTACGCGGAGGCATCTTACTTGCGTCCCACATCCCTGCGCTACTACACTCCTGAGGTCCACCCGCCTACTCCAATTAAAATCTTCTTCGAATGCATAATGCATGGAAACATGAGATACGACATTGTGCCGCGTCCACCCCCACGCAGGCTTACGGCCACATATCGGAAACCCAAACCGACTACATCCGACCACGACCTGCGAGGCCATTGGATTGGTATTATTATATTTGGGCTCACATGGGTCGCTATCGGGTGTGCGGTGGGACATATCCGTGGCGGAGGCGACGCAAGAACGACCGGCCCCCTTTGGGGCCCGTCCGGTCAAGTACCTTCCCGCGAATTCGCCCGCGAGGTACACGCCTGGATCAACGCGACCACAGCCAACATGACGCCCTCCCAACAAGCTGCAGCCTTGCGGCGAGGCTTGGGAGGCCTCGCACGGACCATAACCATGAGAGTCCCCCAGCAGCTATTCCCTACCTAGGCTCTGCCTAGAAGGGTTCTTGCTCTATGTGCTCAAAGGGCCGGGCAGTGTAAACCGCCCCGGGCGGTTCCCCCAGTATCCGCCCCGCGGTTCCCCCAGCCCCCTGGGAGCTTTAGCTTTAGCTTCAGCTTCAGCTTCAGCTTTAGCTTAACTTTAGCTCAGCTTTAGCCTAGCGTTAGCTTAGCTCTAGCTTTACCTTAGCATTCGCTTACTTTTACCTTAGCTTGAGCTTGGCTTTAGCTTAGCTTGTGCTTAGCTTTAGCTTAGCTTCAGCTTAGCTTTAGCTGAGCTTTAGCTGAGCTTTTGCTTAACTTCAGCTTAGCTTTAGCTTCAGCCTTAGCTTAACTTCGGCTTAGCTTCAGCTTAGCTTTGGCTGAGCTTTAGCTGAGCTTTAGCTTGGCTTTAAGCTTATCCTTAGCTTATCTTTAGCTTAGCTTTAGCTTAGCTTTACCTTAACTTCAGCTTAGTCGCAGCTTAGCTTCAGCAGAACTTTAGCCTAGCTCTAGCGTAGCTTTAGCTTAGCTCTAGCTTAGCTTTAGCTTAGCTTCAGCTTAGCCTCAGCTTAGCTTGAGCTGACCTTGTCAGCTTAGCTTCAGCTTAGCTTTAGCTTAGCTTTAGCTTAGCTTTAGCTGAGCTTTAGCTGAGCTGCAGCTTAGCTGCAGCGTAGATTTAGTTTAGCATTCGTTTAGCTTTAGCTTAGCGCTAGCTTAGCTTTAGCTTAGCTTAAGCTTAACTGTAGGTTAGCTCTAGCTTAGCTTTAGCTTAGCTTTAGCTTAGCTTTAGCTTTATTTGATTGTTACTACTAATGCTGCTTTCCTAGGGGCTCCAACTCCTAGGTAGGGTCGCGCTGGGATAATCAAATGTAGTGTTAATATAGGCGGCCGCCATACCGACGGCGCCACCTACACCATGTCCCCCTTAAGCACGAAGTTCGAGAATTTAGAAGAGGAACGCCAACCCAACTCTGGTACAGCTC